TACTGTTGATGGTATCAAATAGAATTTTTGAATTATTGTTATGACGGTTTATAAGATTATTGAAGTAAGAGGATCTGGCCTCTTTGACTGACTCATTATATAGGTAAAGTAGTTCTTTAAAGTGCTCACGATGGACAGTCAGACCGGTGGACTTCCACAGACGCTCTGCTTTTTGATAGGAGCGTCGAAGACCACGAGTCTGATAATTTAACCATGGTGTCCGGGAACTAACAGAGCAATAACTGGTTTTGAGAGGAGCCACCTGATTTAGAATGGCAAGACAGTGTTCATTAAAAGAATTAGTTAGAAGCTCAACCTTGTTTGAGGAACTTTTAAAATTAAAAAGAGAGGAAAACTCAGAAATTATAGAGTCGGCAATAAAGCGCCTGCGCCTAGTAGAACCTTGAGGATGGGACTCTGAATTAACAGATACAGTAAAAGAGACTGAGTTATGGTCACCTAAAACAACTTCATTTAAATTCATGTGGTCAAGGGAAACACCATAAGTGAAGACCAAGTCCAGAGTGTGCCCAGCCGTATGAGTAGGCCCTGCTACATGCTGAACAAAGTTGAAAGAGTCCAAAATGCTCAGAAAATCCTTAGTGGTACTGTTTGTTGAGTCATCCACATGAATGTTGAAATCTCCAACGATGATGACCTTGCCCATTTTAATAGTGGAAGTTAAAAAGTCTTGTAGGTCTGACCAAAAAGACGCAGCAGACCCAGGTGGACGATAAATTAAAATGCCGTATATGGGCTGTTCTCTTCCAATTTTTATCATAAGCATCTCAAAAGAGTTGTAGCAGCTTGACGAAATCATCTGGCATAAAAAAGTCTTTTTAAAAATTACAGCTGTTCCACCTCCTCGTCCAGATATCCGAGGTGCACAGAGAAATGAGCAGTCAGCGGGACGAAGCTCTAAAAGATGTGAGACTTCATTCTCACGTTGCCACATCTCAGAGATAAACATGAAGTCAAGCTTCTCAGAGCAGAACAAGTCATTTAAAATATAAGACTTATTGGCGATTGAGCGGGCATTAATTAACATCCATTTAAGGCTGCGACTCACCAGGACAGGGGTAGAGTTTCCAGGAACAGAGTCCGCGCTATGCGGTAAGCGCGCAGCAAAACAGGGTTCCTGCCGCGATGGGCTTGGCTTTCCATGCTTTCAGATGACAGCCTGGGTGGTAAACATAGTGGGTTGTGGGGATTAATCCAGTTCCGACAAGTTTCAGCCGAATCTCACCGGTAGCAACCCAGGAATAGAGCCCCCGAAGGTCCATCTCTTTCCGAAGACGACGGAGCAGAACGTGAAGGCCGGCTCGCTTCCCCCGCTTTCTCCGACGAGGCCGCTGAAGCAAAAATGAGCTAACCGGCAAGAGTGGAGGTAGACCTGGTGCTGCGTCGCGCTCTAACGGCGGTAGGAAAACAGCCTCGTTTTGTTGACTCTGAAAGCTATCCATTGCAGGTCATAACATTGAAGAAGTTATGACCTGCAGTCTATCTGGGTCAGATATAAACCAAGTTTAGGTGGAGTTTGTTTTTGCTGTGCTGACTTTTTACCGTCTGTTACAATAACTCGTACTGCGTGCTAGCTAGCATGACGGAGTTTGTCACTGATGTTGAACTTTATTTTATTCATAAGGTTAGTTAGTAGAGTTGCCAACTGTCCCGTAAAAAAGGAAACCATCCCGTAAAAAGACGGAATCGTCCCATAACCAGAGAAAATATCACGCGTTTCGTACTGAGCTGAAAAGGAGCACAGTTTGTCCCGTACTTCAGGTAGAATGAAAAAGACACAAAGCTGGAGTTATTCTGTGTCTTTGCGCTGCAGCTGTTTCTTCTCCTCTCATTCTCTACACTCCCTCTCCTGTTGCTACTTCAATCATGAAACTGATCAGTGATCAGCTGATCTGCCTTTCTGACGCAAGTCCCGTCTCTCTTATTTGTTTATTGCCCACTTTGCACCATATAGAGAAAACCAGCGGATGTCGCGCTAAACGACAGCAGCACGTTTAAGCTTGATCAGCTGTTTTTAGAATATATTTAATATACATTTCTAGTTAAAGGCTGGTTATTGAGTAACTCACTCATTTCAAATGAAAACAAAATGGAAATAGTTGTTTTCAATAGCCATATTCCTTGGAGCCAACTAACAGATTCACTTGGCTGTTTGCTACCTGTCTTTCTGATACTGTAAGCGGCCTGGGTGTTCTCCTGGACAGTTCCTTTATACTTGACAAAAAAGTCTCCACTGTAGTTAAGTCTAGCTTTTACCAACTACGCCAAATTGCCAAGGCCAAGCATTACATACCCTGTAAGGACCTTGAGAAACCTATCTATGCCTTTATCGCCTCTAGATTAGACTACTGTAACTCCCTCTATATTGGCCTCCAATCTACCCTTCTCCGCAGACTGCAGCTTATTCAAAATGCCGCGGCACGCCTTTTAATGGGAACTGGGTGGTTTCATTCTATCACCCCTATCCTCGCTGACCTGCATTGGCTTCCCATCAAATACCGCATTGATTGTAAAATTCTATTGCTTACCTTTAAATTTATAATTAACATTGCTCCCAGCTATCTTGTTAAACTTCTCAGCTTGTACACTCTTAGGAGAGCACTGCGATCAACAGGCCAACTACTCTTAGTGCAACCTAGGTCCAAGCTGAAGACCAAAGGTGATCGCGCTTTTGCCATAGCTGAACATAACTTCTGGAATAATCTTCCTGCTGCTCTTCTGAATCGGTTCAATCTTTTAAAACCCATTTTGAAAACCCATTTATTCAATCTAGCCTTCCCTAGGTAGTGTCCGTGTAATGGGTGTGTTAAAAAATAATTTATATTTCACCGAAGATCCATCCTGTAGTGTTATTTTGCTTTGTCAGTATTGGTTATGTATATGTGTTAATTTATATATATTTATTTTCTGTATATGTATTTTGGAAGTATTTATTTTGTTTGTGTGACCTTTGACTTCTCATGAAGTCACTTCCTGTAGCTGCGCGCTATTGTCCTCAGTAGCCTAGAGGCTCCACTGAGGAGAGGTGAGCGTATGCTAGTGCTCTCAGTTACAGAGCGAATAAACACAGTTAAAGCAACCAAAAGTAATTCAAACACTGCTCGTTCCCTTTGTGCATTTTGTCTCACAGTTCTGCTAGATTTTTTAGTGTGAATTGTTGTTTCTCTGACGAGTACAGCACTTTATTGTAACATGCTAATTAGCCAATGTCAGGTTAGGGCATAGAAGCATGCAGGTGGTTTCTCATGTGGTCCATGATTTTTCTCTCTCCCTTGAAGGTGTGCATGGAGAAACCCAGTAAGTTGAAGTTGCTGTACTTTTTTAATTGGTTATATATTTTCATACGTACATTTGAGTATGAGTTGATTTGTTAATTGGATGTGTTGTGATGTTGCACCTCAGTTGCATAGAGTTTAAAGACAAACGGGAACTCATTAGTTCCCATTTTTTGGTGAATTGGTGCCTACGGCATTCACCCAATAAGGTAAAATAAAGAATAAAGAGAAACAGGAACAATTAACATAATAGTGAGGATATTACCTTAGTTTTGGAGGAATGAAAATGAATGCAAAATAAAGGTCAGATGCAGATTATAATTTGGCAGCGTTATGTTCACTATTATGCAGAGACATTGTACACATGAACTAAAATTCCAATTTTGATACATTTTTGAGCATATTTCCCTTAAAATGGTTAACTGAAAATGTTGCATGATTAAACAAATGAAGTACAATGCATTTGATATATTTAATATTTCATAAAATAAAACACAACACATGCTCTACGTAGACTTTTATTAATATTCAATGATGAAGAATCAGGAATACCAGAGACAAGATGCTTCTAAAATCAACAGAAAACAATCACCTGGTAAAAATAATACATTAAGTGGGAAACCAGACATTAAAATACACACCCTTATTATTTTCTTATCTGTCTGCAATGTTTTAGCTTTAATAATCTCCAGCTAATGGTACAACTGTACGATAATAAACAGATTACTACTGTGTAATGCATGCCCTCTTTGCCCGTTTTCCTGTTGCCCTACCTACTCCCACTATAAATCCCACAGGAGTTCCCACCAGAGCTCCAGCTGCAGCCACCACAGCAGCTACTGCAGCTACAGGGGCAGCTGCAACACCTCCTGCAACACCTGCTCCACCAGCAGCACACTCCAAAACATCTTCAATGAATGAATTCTCATTTTCTGCTTGTTCTTCTGCTTGGTCAGTATTCATCTCTGGACTTTCACTGAGAATTTGCTCAATTTTTTTTTCTTTGGCATGCTGAGCATTTTTGAACATGTCATTGGTGTAGACGTTTCCTCCATTTTTATGAACCATTGTATTGATCTTGTTCAGCAGCTCACGGACCTGAGATGGATCCTTGTCTTTGTTGTCAAAAACATGATATCTTCCTTGGCACTGACTGATGAAGTCATGAACATCCTTATTTTGAGAAATTAAATCGTTTATGGTATCTCCTTCATCTTTCAGCTGGTCTCCACCTGTGAACAAGGCAATAGTATATTTTTCGGCTCCTTCTCCAAATGTTTCCTGAATGATTTTCACTGTTTCCTTTTCTTCTTCTGTGAATCTGTCCAGTTTGATCACAACCAGGAACACATGAGGACCAGGAGCAGCAAAAGAGATGCATTTAGCAATCTCCTCAGCCACATCTCTATGTGATTTTATGGTGTCAAACAGACCTGGAGTATCAATTATAGCCAACTTTTGGCCATCAAACATGGTTGTTTGCTTCTGACATTTTGTTGTGACTGAAGAGAAAGACCGCTTAGACTCAAACTGTTTTTCTCCCAACATGGTATTTCCTACTGCACTCTTGCCAACTCCAGTTTTCCCAACAAGAAAAATTCTGAGGTCTGGTTTCTCTGAGCCTGTGGGAGACAAACAACAGTGAAAGTATTGCAATAAAAAATTACACTAAAAATACAAAGCAACAACAACAACAAAAACCCAACACTCGAAGTATCTTTCATAAGAACTATATGTATGTACGTGTGTATGTATATATATATATATATATATATATATACACCCACTCGCCCCTGTGGGTGGTCAATCCTTCAAGCGCGGGTCATTTCAGATTAACTCTAACAGCACTAGTGAGAACACAACGAATATGACTGCACATTTATACCGACATCATCCTAGTGCAAAGACAAGTGGAAGCAGACAAAAACAACAAGCA